GGGGGGGCTACTGAAAAAGTAAACTGTTCTACAGTTCATCGAATATTATCGAACGTTGCCAGTATTGTGGAAATAGAATATTAAGTGTAGTGTAGGTACTTCTTTTTAATAGCCATTCTTTAGCCCAGATGGTTCTCTTTCTAGATTTCTTTTTGGATTTGAGAACACAAAATGCTGCCAAATCATCCAGGTAGCTTGCTTCAGCCATTGTTGACGTTTTTGACCTAGATCTAGCTACAACAGTTCAAGGACGGATAAAAAACTGTACGTCTAAACGGAACTTCTCTCGTCGACAAACTGTCAGTTTACCGATGACCCAGATCGAACGTCCGTCGGTTAAACTGTCAGTTTGTCGATCAGCGAACTGTACGTCTAAATGGGGCTTAAGAGTCTGAATTCGGATAATGTTTCATTGAGGATTATCCTATTATCCGGATCTGTTATCAGGATTTTTACCCATCACTGGCGGCAACGGACGCACGCCTGATAGAAGCCCTCTCTCTAGGCTAGCAGCGGAACCATGGTCAACCTGCGCTGCGCGTGTTGACCTCAATCCCAGCCCCTCGGCACACTCCACACTCCACACGCAGTGTGTAGTAGCACGGCGCATGCAGTGTGTGTGTGTGTGTCGTCTGTGTGTGTAGTTGTTTGTAGTAGTTGTGTGTAGCGCGTCCATTCCGCACGGCTGTGTTCTCGTCTGCTTGCCGCCTTGTTTACCTTCTCTCTCTCTCTTCTCGTGTGGAGCAGAAAGTAAGTGATGCCGTTTCTCTGTCTGTCAGTGTGTTCGTCTGTTTCATGATGTGCTTTTTCATTGTGAAGTTTTGGTGTGTTGGCGGGAGATACTGTGTGTTGTGTACGCTTAGTCATAGGCCCCTCTTTGTCTCATACACGCGCGCGCGCACAAACACACACACACAAACACACCCACACACACCCACACACACACACTCACTGACTCACTCACATACACACACATACACACACACATACCCACACATACATTCATACACATTATATGCATAATACACACAACATACACACACACAGATACACTCGAATACACTCACATGCACCTATACATTTACACACACACATACACACACGTCACACACACACACACACACACGCACACACACACACACACACACACACGCACTCACAACCACACACAAACATACACATATTATATACATTCCCACACACACAAACAGAGGCGTACACATACACATATGTACACACATATACAAAGATACACTCTAAAATACACCATACACACATGAGATATATACACACGCACACACACACACACTCACCTGCACCCACATACGTTTATACACACACACACACACAC